ACATATATTCAAACAAGTTATACATATCCTCCATTGGCTGGATGATATCCTCTATTATTTATATGATATCATGGTTGGATTATATCCTCTATTAGCTATATGATATCGTTTATGATTGTGACTATGATATCCTTTATTGGCTAAATGATATTCTCTATTGGTTATATGATATCATGGTTGGATGATATCCTGTATTAGCTATATGATATCGTTTATGATTGTGTCTATGATATCTTTTATTGGTTGGATGATATCTTTTATTGGTTACATGATATCATTATAGCCAATAGATGATATCCTGTATTAGCTATATAATATCGTTTATGATTGTTTCTATGATATCCTTTATTGGCAGGAGGATATCCTTTTATTGGCTATATGATATCATAATAGCCAATAGATGATATCATCTAGCCAGTAGAGGATATCATCTAGCTAGTAGAAATATCATCAGTCAATAAAGGATACCATTAGTCAATAAAAGATATCATCCAACCAATACAGGATATCATCCAGCTAGTAGAAATATCATCCAGCCAATAAAGGATATCATATAGACAAAAAAGGATATCGTCCAATTAGTAGAGGATATTATCTAGCCAATAGAGGATATTATCTAGCCAATAGAATTATCATCTATCCAACAAAGGATATCTTATAGCCAATAAAGGATATCATCCAGTTAGTAGATGATATCATCCAGCCAATAGAGGATACCATCCACCCAATAGAGGATATCATCCCGCCAATTGAGGATATCAAAAATCTGCATTTTGTCAGTGTTTCGTCAGTCCGCATTGACACAATACCTTCTCTTTGTTGGTTTTGGCAACCTTTACTTTCCACTCAACCATCAAATAGACTTTGTACTATTTTGTCCTTACAACATTATTATAGTAATAACCTACAATATATACAATAATTTTCAGTTTGCCTTATAGGTTTCGTTTGATTTGATGTAAAACATTTTCTATGAAAACTTAGGGCCTGTTCACATTTACTTAATTTCAATTCAGTTCACTTCAGTTCAGCTCTAATCAGTTCAACTCCAATCGGTGCAGTTCAGTTCAGCTCCTAATTTCCCTCTCTCATAAAATAATCATTTCAGCTCAGTTCAGTTCAGTTTAGCTCCACTCAGCTCAGTTCAGTTCAATTCAGCTCCAATCAGTTCAGTTCAGTTCAGTTCAGCTCAGTTCAGTAAATGTGAACAGACCCTTAGTTTAATTTTCATGAAAAAACTTATTTTCAAATAATAAAACCTCAATTATAAAGTAGTGTTCCTTTGTTTTGTTCGTTACAATAAAAGTTTTAGAAAACTTAAAAATAGAAGGTGAACATCTGAGGATAGATGAGAGGAAAGTAAAAAGAAGTTATGGAAGAAAGAGGAAAATCTGACTTGTCTTATTTTATAAAGGAAAATATTTTCAACCATTAAAAATATTAAAAAATTGTTTAAATAAATTTTCATAATAGCGCTTTACATACATTAAACGAAGCAGAGTCTTATTTCTTTTAAATCAACTCCATCAAGAAACTAATACTCTTAAAAGACAGCATATATAAATCATTGGTCTTTGAATTTAGAGATCTGAAACAATATTGAATCTGACACCACTAAAACCACATCTATAATTATTCCAACATTAAAAAAGAAAAACCTAATGATGTGTATCAACAAATCCATTGTCATAATATAACTAATGAAGCTAATTAGCTATACATATAGCTTTAGGGTTGGGTTCTCCACTAATTAATCATAAAATTAATTAAATATTTTGTGAATCAAGGCATAAAATTAAGTAGATGCTCTGCTCCCAAAAGGGACACATGCATCAATGTCAATGGACATTTGACTGTACCCTATACCCCTAATTGTAGGGTTTGATAACCCTAAATGGAATAACTTACTTAAGAAGCAGCTACAAGACAAATTCATTTACACTAAAAATACTAATTATGTCCCTTGCAATTGTAAAGCATATACCTTGTACGTACATTAGTTATAATAACTTATTATAAAAACCTGATTAATTATAATAATGTTAATAAAAATATTTTCTTTGCACTATTTCATAGAATGACTTTTTAAAATGTCTTAACACTCTTAAAGATTGTTGTGATGGGGAACTAAGGGGCTGGTTGGAGGCATGGGAGCATGTATCATGAAACCATTACTTGGTACTTTTGGAACTTTATAATTTCTTTATATTTATATATAATTGTACTTTTAGGACATTTTAATATTACCTTAATATTTCTTAACAACTGGGAAGAATATCAATATTATAAAATTTAATAAATCAAGAGGAAATTTTTTTGAAGTCGGAATAATCTACTTGGTATTTTTTTTTCCTTGTTTTTTTAAAAAAAAAAAATTATTTTAGATATAGGTACAAAATATGGGTTTAAAATGGTTTAATATAACCCCATGCGATTTTTAGAATCTTAAACCAACATCTCAAACCTTTTAGGTATGAGATTAGAAATATAGAGCTGTGGGAAGGGAGAGATGAGTTTTGCTCATACCAACACTTCTTCCAGGAATTGAATAGAACAAATAATACTACTCTAGAATTGAAACAAACACGTGGTATAAAAAATCAAGTTCCAATTTCATTATAACATTAAATTTTCATTTATAATTCCAACCCATATCGTAGTGGGAACAAAGCGCTCCTTACATTTTATTTCTTTCAATCTCCATCCCTCATAATACAATACCTTTATCCTCCCTTGTACGGTTGTATCTATCGTTATCTTATCTTTTCTTGTCGATATATTGTACATTACTTTTTTATTTACATTTAATTAACATATATAATTTAGATGTGAAAGTTATGATACCTAGTTAAGTAAGAAGAATGAATTGAAGTTCCAACATATGTTAAACAAAGACATTGAAAAATCAAATTTTCAATTAATAAAGAAAACTTTATATCCCACCAAACAAATTGTGAGTGAGGGATAGCTTAAGTGGTTAGAGCTCCCTCCCGGTTCCAGGTGATCCCGTCATTGATTCTCATCACTCGTCTTTGTAATGGCTCTCTAAATAAAAATAAAATAAAATAAAAAATTATATTGATCGAAATTACTTTTTCTTAATATAACAATGACATACAGATGTATACATAGTATTCGATATATAATATATATATATATATAAGAATAATAATGTTTGGATCAATAATTATATTGTATCACTAAAATGGTGTGTAAAATGACTAATTTCATTGGTCGATATAGAACTCCTTTACACTCACCACCTTTTCTATCTTGACCCCTCACTACTACCAATTGGTGAAAGTCTCTTCTCTAAGCCTAATAATCGTATGCTGTTACTAATGGCACCACCTAATTCATTTATTATACTGTCCTCAACAAATCAAAGGACAATAAAAGAAAGTATATTATGACATTAATCATAGACTTCTCATGCACATGTAAATTTTTTTGGAATCATGTTATATACAATAAGCTAGATCGTAATAAAAGGTTTGTAGTAAACATTCTTGTGCACGTCTTATATATGCCTATTGTATTACAAGGCTTTCTTGAATTTGAACCAAGGATATCATAATAGGGTCTCCTAAACTTGCTTATTAATTAAAAAAAAATGTAGAAATAATAAAGCATGCAAAGATTTGAACTCAAGACCTTTGACATGCAAAATAGCAAGCTCAATATATACAAAGATTTCCCTAGTTGATTGATCGACATCAAATGTATATAAGACGTGCATAATCAAAATGATTGAAGCATAATCAAGATGGAAATTATACGTTACTAGGCCAGTGTTAAAATTATATACATATTTTTTTCAATATAATTTGATCATTTACACCTTTACATATCTTCTTTATGTTACATGTCAAAGTACTATGTTACATTTAATATGGATTAGAAGAAGTATTATTAAGCATCTTTATTTTGTATTCCTTGATTTAACTAGTTATTTGACTAGCTTATTACTTAAACCTATCTAGATCACGCCTCATGGTAGTATACTAGTGTAGGGTTATAGGGTTGTGTATAGATCCAACCTAATCACTTAATTAGTGGTTGATTAAGATAATTTATAAAGCATCACATATGTTTTGTCTTCTTATATTTAAAGCTACTTTTCTCCCCGCGCTAAATTGATCGCAAAAGATATTGATGCATTAACACAAGATCACCGAATACTATATGCACATCTTGTACACATTCCTTGAACTCAACATATTATAAACTTTTTAAAGATGTGAATTAGAATTAGAACTTTTATCTATTCTTTTACAGAACATAGCTAATATATATTGTAAAACATATATATCTTGAAATAAACTTATTTAAATTTATTATCAATTGTTTTAGGAAAAATAAGTGAAAATTAGATTGACAGAGGCTAGCTAAGAAACAAGTGCAAGCAATAATATGTAGTGTTTTATACTTTGAGAATGTTTAAAGGAAATTAAACCAAATTGTATATTAATTACTTATAAAAATTATTATAGCTTTACACAGAGGAGGACCATCCACTAGGGTTAGTCGGAGTCCCGGTCCATGTAAATTATTTGATTAATTAGTTATTTAACTTTAAATAACCTCATTTAACTTTAAAATGTTGGTTGACAATTAGAAACAAAAAAAAAAAAAATTATTGGTACAATGATTATTTTTGAGCGAGATGTTAGAGGGTTTCAAATTATAATCCCTAAAATATATTCGGTCAAAATCTGTCACAAAGTATAATGTTTAATTTGCAATTCACAACCTTTGACAAAAAATATTTTATCACATATAATTATAGTGGATGGACCATATAAGAAAAAAAATAGTAATTAATTAACCAAATTTTTTTTTATCAATATAGTACAATAATATTTCCACAAAAATAAAAATTATTAAATAATAAATTTGAAGAAAACCACTCCTTTCCAACCATGTAATGCCAAAATGCTAGAAGATCGATATCTGCAAGCACAACCAATTAGTGATGCTTAATTATGTGCAATTACATAATTTAACTTTGGACGTGAGCATTATTTATTTTGCACACTACCAATCATATAAGGAGTCTCCAACTCCCCATAATTATACTACACATATATATATACCTCACCTTACACTACACTTAGCCATCCAATTCTAAGCTCAATATTCCATTTTCTGAGCTCTAGCAAAATCACTTTCCCTTTCTTTAGCTCTCCCTCTCCAATTTGTAAGTCCATGGCATCGAAAATCGAAATCGAACCACATGTCATAGTTATCCCTTTAATGTCACAAAGCCATCTAATTCCCATGATAGACCTATCTAAGCTCTTAGCTCAAAGAGGCCTTATTGTTACCATAATCACTACACCACGTAACGCCCTTCGTTACCAAGCTACCATCGATCGAGCCATAAGCTCCGGCCTTTGCATCCAACTCGTGCCACTTCCTTTTCCGTGCAACAAGGCCGGACTACCGGAAGGATGTGAGAACCTTGATAGTCTCCCTTCTCCTAATTTGCAAACAAAGTTTCTTGTAGCAAGTTCTTTATTACAAGCACCACTTGAAAATTACCTTGAAAGAATGAATCCAAAACCTAGTTGTATAATTTCTAGTCTTCCTTGGACAAGTGATGTAGCACATAAATTTAATGTTCCTAGGTTTGCTTACCAAAGTATTTCTTGCTTCACTCTCTTGTGTTCTCACAATATGATGCTTCATAATGTGCATGAAAATACAAAACATGATAATGAACCGTTTTTGGTGCCAGATGTCCCGGATAAAATAAAGTTCACTTATGCTCAATTGCCTAAGATGATGAGGAGGTGTAGTCCACAAATTGATGATGGTGTTGACATGAAAGACATTCGCGATCAATTTACGCAAGCTTGTTCATCCGCGGAAGGGTTGTTGGTGAACACATTTGAAGAGCTTGAGTTTGAGTATGTGAAGTCATATGAAAAGGCGGTGATGAGGAATGTCTTTTGTGTTGGCCCTCTTTCTCTTTGCAACAAAATGGTACTAACCTATTCTTTTTAATCACAACGTTTGGAATTTGACTATTTATAATTCACACATACACGTGATTTTTGTGATTAATATGTTTGGAAAAATATAATCATATGAGATCTTAAAATAGATTCATCTATATATAGATATATAAATTTTCAAAATTTAAATTTTTTACAGATTTATCAAAATGAATTTGTGAAAAATGATCTTTTATGTGGTTGACTTTTTGTAAAAAGACATTTTAAATGAAAAGTTGTGAAAAAAACCTTATAAGTTGTATTTTTTTAGGGGTACTTGGGTGAGTTTTCCGGGTGGTCAACATCGAAACGCTAGTGTTGACTTTCACGTGTTACTCACGTGAGTTTAAAAAGGAAAAAATAAAATGGTTTAATTCACGTGAAAGTTAAAGCCAGAGCTCTGCCGTTTACCACCCAAAAAACTCACCCAAGTACCCCCTAAAATCAAAATATAACTTAAAAAGCTCATTTTGCACAACTTTCACTTAAAAGGTACTTTTTACAAATTTCTCATAATAATAATAATATAAGATGTGCAATTAATGCAAATTGTGGAATTTCTCACATTGTAATTAAAAAATAATTTGATTGGTACATGATGTGTGCAACCATGTGTGGTTAAAAAAAAAAAAAAAAATAGAAATCTTCATCATTTTGTAAATTTCAATTCAAAGGTTGCATTTCTCCAAAATTAGGTTATAAATGTAAGAAAATACCATTAAATTACAGTTGGTGTTATTGATGCAGGATGAAAACAATGGGAAAACGGCCACAGTCGACGAACATTATTGCTTAAGATGGCTTGACTCCATGAAATCAAATTCAGTTATATACGTTTGTTTTGGCAGCCTATGTCATTTACGGCCTAAGCAATTGATTGAGCTTGGCAAGGGCTTAGAAGCATCAAATTGTCCATTCATTTGGATAATTAGAGATGTTGATTACAATGAAGAAATAGTGAAGTGGATAATGAATGAGAACTTTGAACATAGGGTTAAAGGAAAAGGACTAATAATCAAAGGGTGGGCGCCTCAAGTGTTGATATTATCCCATCCTGCAACTGGAGGGTTTTTAACACATTGTGGATGGAACTCGACATTAGAAGGGGTAAGTGCGGGTGTGCCTATGATTACTTGGCCAATGTTTGCTGAACAATTTTATAATGAGAAGTTAATTGTTCAAGTGCTTAAAATTGGGGTTAGAATAGGGGTTGAGGTCACCATGCAATGGGGAGAGGAGCAAAATGATGGGGTTTATGTAATGAGAGATAGTGTGAAAAATGCAATAAACCAACTTATGGATGAAGGGGAGAAAGGACAAGATATAAGAAAAAGAGCAAAAGAACTTGGGGAGAAAGCTAAAAAGGCAGTAGAAAAGGGTGGGTCTTCATTTTTGAACGTTACTTCTTTTATCCAACATGTTAGGCAGTAATGTGTAACGTGTTAGTGATTAAGTCGAAAATAGATAAGCCAAGAATGAAGAAATTAGTTATTCTCTCCGTTTCATATTATTTGCAACTTTGAAATATTATATGTGAGATATTAAATTTTTCAAAATTGCAAATAATATGAAACACATAATTGGGGTGGGTTGTTGAAGAATAATTATTCTATGTTAATCCTTCAATCTCTACAATAATAATTAAGGGCGTCCCCTAGTAACTCTTATTGAGAAACAATTTCTGTTTCTCTAGTGGCAGTTCTGTAATATTTGTGCCTTGAAAAGTGTAAACTAATATTAATTATTGCTGACTGTGATAAACACTAACTTTGCTGATATGGACTTTGGGAAGACGGAGTGAACTCCTAGGCAAAATCTCCGTCAATTTTTTCTAACTTTGACATCCGTTGAAGTTAACGTTTGTTACTCCAAAGTTACTATGGTCAGTAAATCTCTCAAGTGTGTTCTTCCCAATTTCGTGGTTCAGAGTTCAGATTCGACCAGGAAGGAAAAAAAAAAAAAAGCCAGAAATAGAAAAAAAAACACACAATCGAGAAAGAGAAGATGTTGTACAGCAGAAGGGGTTTGTAGGGTTCGTCATCTAAGGGAAGGAGTACAAATTTTCACTTGAAAATATTGTAGATCCTGCGCTCGGCGTATATATGAAGGTTAGGGTTTTTTGTGATTTTGTTTACAATTACGATCGTACTTGTTTATAATTATAGTCGTCGTACTAGTTTTTAATTAATTACAGTTGTCAAAAGTTTATTAAAATTGTTGGTGTTGAAAATATTGTAGTTAAATAATATGAGTCGAATTGTGTGTTTGTAATTACTGAAAACAATGTAGTCGAATTTTATCATAAACATGTATCAGATTGAATTATTGAATTGGATTATATTTCTGGTGTTTGGTAATTCAAAAATTTTATTGCTGGTTGAGTAATTCCCACCATTATCTGACCAGATATTATATTGTTATCTGCACTTATATATTGCTAAAACAAGTAAATGCAGTGGACATAGTGCATATTTTGACTTTATATGTCTGAACTTTTTTTTATTCAGAAATCAGTGCTGGTACGTTCATGGAAATTGATAATTTATCAGAACAAATTATTGAGGATAGTTGTGAAAATGTAGAAGGAGATTGCAATGGTGGCCTAGATGAAATAGTAATTGAGGATAACTTATGCACCTCTGGAGGACAAAGTTGTTTTGGGTTTGAGATAGAAAATGTGGAGGAGAAAGGTGATGCTGACATAGGTGAGACAGAAATTGAGGGTTATCGATACTTTACTCCCAAGAAGACTGTGGAGACCACACATACTGTTGTTGCAAACAATCAGGTAACTGTTGTTACAGTTGTTGACCCTCCTAGAGAGGGTATGGTGTTCAAAACTTGGCAAGCCGTTGAAGCATATTACAAGGATTATGCTGAGCAACAGGGATTCGAAGTGACAAGGGTGCAGGGAGTTAACTCCAAGACTGATAAAAAGAAGAGAATTGCGACAACATGGAGGTGCGAGTGTTGGGGGAGACCTGACATGAGGGCAGGAAGGGAGGCGAAGAAGAGGGCAAAAGCCATGGAAATTGCTGGACCAGCAACATCTGTTGGTGGGGAAGTATGTGATGATGAAGTGCGTAAAGGGAAGAGGACTTCGAAGAAATGTCTATGCAAAGCTAAAGTATACGTTAGTTTGAATCGAGATGGTGATTGGGAATTGAAGACAGTGGAGTTAGAGCATTCTGGTCATGATCCAACTCCACGCAAGGCAAAGCTTGTGAAGGAGTATCATATGAGGGAATTGACGTCTAATGTGAAGAGGAAGCTGTTTGGTTACTATGAGGAAGGTGTTCCTATCTCTCAGATTCATGGGTGTATGGACGCGGAGTGTAATGGGAATTTGAAGCTGACTGTGAAAGACTTAGAACATGAGGTTTATAAAGCGAGGCGGTTGAAAATGGTTGGCGGGGATGCGGTGTCTATGATGGATTATTTTCAAAAACTGCAATCTGGGAATTCTAATTTTTTTTTATGTTCAACGCTTGGACAACGTTGGCCGGCTGAAGGATGTCCTTTAGGTGGATGCCCGGAGTAGGGTAGCCTATGAGGACTTTGGTGACGTAGTATGTTTTGATGCAACGTACTTGACAAATGAGTACGAATTTTGTGGGGGTAAACCATCATGGGCAGTCCTTGTTGCTTGGATGTGCATTAGTGTCGCATGAAGACTGTGACACATTTTCATGGATTTTTCGGCAGTGGTTATATTGTATGAACAATCGTGCTCCCGAGGCCATTCTAACAGACCAAGCAGCTGCCATGCGGCGCCCTCTAGCTGAAATAATGCCACATACTAGGCATCGGTGGTGCATTTGGCATATTTTGAGCAAGATACCCGATAAACTAGGCAAGCGAGCACGGTGAGGCCTGTTATATCTGCCCTGTTTGACTTATTTTAATGTCTACCCCACCCTTTTTCATGTGCTTAAATGTTATTGATTTGCAGTTGTTCATGCTTAACTTGCAGTTGTTCATGCCCCACCCTGGTAGTACTTAATTTGCGTGTTGGCTGAATTTGTTAATGGTATCTGTTTGTCAATTAGTTGTGGGATAATGAAAATTTGTTGTTTTTTGACGTCCTAATGTTTTTTGTAATATGTGTACCTGTTCATATTGTAAAAGAATATCTTATATATGTTGAAGAATAGTTTGTGGTTATTTTGAGGAATGGATTTTGAGAAACGGATAAAGTTGATTTGAGTATTGATAGCATGATGGTTTACCTCTGTAATTGCTTAATTTTGCTTAATTTTTGGTCAGTCTCTCCTGAAATGCTTAGCTTGTTGTTCGTTGTGTCTTGTGCTGCCCCTGTGTACCTTTCATTTGTATCTTATTTTTGTTAAATGTAATTTTCAGGTACCCTGAATTTAAAAATGTGATCAAGAAGGTTGTATATGAGAGTTTTACCCCGCAAGAGTTCCACCGTCGTTGGGCTGAAATGTTGTCTGAGTATGAGCTTGAAGATGATGATTGGCTGCTTAGTTTACACAAAGAGAGTCACATGTGGGTTCCGGCCTACATGAAAGAGTTTTTCTGGGCTGGTATGAAAACCACCAAAGCATCAACCGTTTCTTTGATGGGTTTGTAAACAGGCATACAAAGTTGCATGAGTTCCCCGTGAAATACTCAAGAGCGTTGAAGAAGCGGGTGCGTGATGCTAGATGTGGTAAGTATTTGAGAAGGTTGGTTAGTGGTTTCAGAGTTGAGAAGTTGTTCTAGAAGATTACACAGACAATAAATTTTAAGAGGTTCAGACAGAATGTGCAAGGATGGGTTATAGTTACGTATTAGAGACCAAGAAAATTTCGGACACGTTGACTGAATATGTGCTTGAGGATAGGGTGTGGATCGTACCTGAAGGATCAAGTAAAGAAGTAATCACTGATTATCGGAGATTATATTGTGTGAAGTTTTTTTTATTGATGTGAAGGACGTGAGCTGCGATTGCCGTAAATTTGAAACACATGGCATATTATGCAAGCATTGCTGTAGACACCTAAAAATGTCTCCCCAAAACCAAACCCGATGATAAATAACCTTTCATCGCCACTATTGGTCGGGTTTAGTATTTAATCCCGAGAGTGCTTAAAAAATCGTATTTTATTATATTCATACCTTTGAAAGGTCCATGGATTAGTCTTGATGTTTGGTAAAAGCATAGTTTTAATTTTAGCTCAAGCTTATTAATTAATTTTAAGCCCAAACCTTTTTATTTTATTATTTTATTATTTATTTTTGGCCCAAACATTTTATTTTATTATTTTCTTATTTTAGCCCGAATAATAAAAGTCAGAAAAAAGTCCGAAATTATCAATCGACACTTAAAAAGCCGAAAGAAATTAGGGTTAAAAATGAATTTAGACGGAAAAATAGACTGGAAGTGACCGTGTCACGGTACAATCTGACCGTGTCACGGGAACCCTTCCCGTCTGACGGTGGGACTTCCCGTGACACGGGAAATTTTACCGTCTAACGGTAGAACTGTTTGAGGGTTTGGTCCCAAAATCAACTTTATTTTATTTATTTTAATTTAACCATCGTTTTATTATTTCCTTGAAGTTACTAACTCGTTTATTATTTTGTAGTTGCAAACAAACATAATCAAAGTAAGGATCATGCTCCTTTTGTTTTTATTATTTTTCTAACGATTTTATGTTGTTGGAATCCTAATTAAATTGGTTTTAATATTAATGTTTATTCTATTGTATTTTTTAATGATCACCATATTGCATGTTTAAAGGAAATATGTAATTGAAAATCACGCCTAATAAGATAATTTGGACAGCCGGTTTAGGTTCCTTTTTAATCTTATTGTTAATTCAAGTGATCACCATATTTTAGAATTATGTGTGCATTAATTTTAAACCAGTTTAGTTAAATAATACTTTGGAGCGAATTGAATTATTGTTTGTATGCCTTTGAGATCATAGGAATGCTTTTCAATATAAGAATCGAGTAAAGGCCAATACGGGCGAATGTGACTCCATGACTCACTTCGTACCATCATCCCCGATCCTCCTTTCGTGGTTCCGAACCATATGGAGTTAGTAATCTCATGGATTATGAATGGGGTGTAACTTTCACGGGTCAATCGTTGTTGCCTATCGTTGTCCCTTAATCGTGGTTGCCTTTTATGATCCGTGAACGGTTTACAAGTTCCTTAAAAACTTGTTGGCGGCTCCCTACTTTATTTGTCCCTAATCGTTGTCCCTAATCGTAATGTCAATTCCCACTTCCTATGAGTGCCAAGCATATTCACCACATGCTTTAACGTAGGCGCACTTCAAACGACGCCTACAATTTGGCGACTTCACTGGGGAGGATTCTTAATTATTTATCGATTTGAGTGATCGGTATTTAATTAAGATGAGTGGATGAGACTTGAAAGATTCTTGAAAAAATATTCCTGTGATTAATTTGGCATTTTTGCATCCGCATAGACGTTTTAACGTCGCATTCAGGTCTGTCCCGTAGGAAAAATTGGATAACTTGGTTGCGCGCAAAAGCAAACAGGGCACCAGTCAGATTTTCTGACTGCCGTGTCACGGCAGTCCTAAAATCAGTCCGGTGACCTATTTTCTTTTCTCATAGTCGACTTCCTTCAATTTTTCTGAACAAACGTATGTGTTCTACATGCGTCTTAGCCCCGGGGAATTTAAGCTCTATCGACCCAAAAACGCTCATGGCAACAAGGGTTCATCCGAGTCTTTAAATCCACACAAACCATGGAGTCGAGTTCGATTTCATCACGAACTCGCGGAGCCGCCCGTTGGCATACACCCTCAAGGGAAGCTGCCTTGCTAACGCGTCCAAACTCTTAACCATGGTACCCTTTTGACACCCAAAGCTTGACCAATAGTTGAACATAGATCTCGACTCTAGGTTGCGAACTTTTTTTTATCATCGTGCCTAAATGCTATGTGGTTGTTTGGTGCTAACCCTCATGTGTTTGCTCTTTTTGTTTAACCCATGACCGAGGGTTTTTATTCTCACATAGTAATTAGTATGAACTTAAAATCGATTAAAATCTGAAAAAATCACAAAACTGACCTGGAACTGCGCACCGTGTCACGGCATGTTCTGCCGTGTCACGGTGAACAGTGCCGTGACACGGGAAATTTTACCGTCTAACGGTAGACTACACCGTGTCACGACAGTCTGCACCGTGACACGGTGCCCAGGAAAGTGTCCTGTCAGTTTTTTTCTCGATTTTTGTGCGAATGTTGTGTCCACCGTGACACAGTCGAGTCGTGTCTAGCTATACGGTCAAAACACGCGTCTATAATTTCACTTAATCACTCACATGTCGTGCTCACACACTTTTTGCTTTAAGTCGTGCATCACTTTTTTGACCGTATTTTAGGGAAGTCTTGTTTTTGTGTCGTTTTTTTTAGAGTAAGTCGGATGGTATCCTCCCTTTAAAAATAAACAAGTAGATTTTCAAAATTATAGTTTTTCAAAATAGGGGAATTGTCGCGACACGGGATACCCTACCGTGTCACGGTACTGTTCACCGTGACACGGTGGGCCTGAACGGAAAAAAAAGGACAAAGAAACTCCCGTGACACGGGAATTTATCCCGTCTGACGGGAAAAGTTCCCGTGCCACGTCACCCCCTGATATCAGCCAAAAAAAAAAAAGTTCCCGTGTCACGGCAAAAAAAAAAAAAAAATAAATTCCCGTGACACGGGATTTTATCCCGTCTGACGGGAGAAGTTCCCGTGTCACGGCAACAAAAAAAAAAAAAAAATCCCGCGCCACGGGAAATTCTACCGTGTCACGGCAAATTTCCACCGTGACACGGTGGAATTTAAAAAAAAAAAAAAAAGAAAAAAAAGCGTTAGTCAAGTCTTCCATGTTAATTTGGTCCTCGCGTCAGTCATTTTGGTTATTGCTTATATGTCTAGCCATACGATCATACCACGAGTCTTATAACATCACTTAGTCACTCACGAGTCAAGTATAGTCCACACACTTTCTTTATGTTCCGACTCGAGTCGTGCACCAGGTCGTTTATGATCGTATATTAGGTTCATGCACCCTTTTTTCGTCATAATAAAAAATAAGTGGAGTTTTCTCACCTGTTTTCAAATGTCTATTTTTTTTCCTTCCTTTCCTATCTTGAGCAATGAGTTAAACAATTAAGTGAATTATTTTATTTCACAGTACTTGTTCAAGGAATAGAGATAGATCAATACGGTTCGAGCCATTACCGCAATAATCTCTCAGATCTAATAGGCGTTCAAAGAGAACTTTGTCATCTTCGTTACTCATCACCTTTCAATGGCCACTAAAGAAGACATTGAGAACATCAACAAATCCATTGAGGCACTGTCTTCCATGATGCAAACCCTTACCACTAGGGTCACTTACCATGGAACAAAATAAGGTCACTGTTTCCACCCTTGACAAACTGAAGGAACAAATGAGTAAGATTTCTGAGGATTTCACTTATGTGGAACGACCTCCCACTCCTTTGAATGTGAAGGACAGACTCTCTGAAAAGTTCTCCACTACTGATATTCCAAAGTTCAAGCCTACTGACAATCCAATATTCCATTTGAAGGCGTTCTCTGCAACCATGGCTCTTAAGGAATTGGACGTAACACTCTTCCCTACGGTGTTCCCTCTCTCCTTAGAACATGCTTGCCAACAATGGTTCTATTCCCTAGATGCCAAGCGTATTGCGACTTGGCAAGATGTCACCGAAAGTTTCATGAATCGTTACAAGTGTAACATTCAAACTAAAACTTCTGAACGTGAACTCTCCATTCTCAAACAGAAAGAGAATGAAGGCTTCACCGCTTACTTGAACAGGTGGAAGGAAACAGCTTCACTCTTGGTAGATCCCCCCAAAGAAAGAGAGATGGTTCGCCTCTTTATTCAAAATCTGACTCATAAATATAGGGAACATCTCAAATTTCTTCCACAGAACACTTTCGAAGCTGTATACGACATCGGCATTAATATCGAGGATGAGCTAATAAAGACTGCTGGTAGTAACAATAATAACACTTGGAAAAACAAGAAGAACGACCATCCTTCTTCTTCGTCTTCTAAGCACGAAAATACTACCAACAATATAAGCCAAGTTGATCTCAATGAAGTGTTAGCTCTTGATACTCCATTGCCCAAGAAGAAAAGAACTTACACTCCTTTAGGAATGACTTATGATGCGGCCTTTGATCGCCTTTATAGTTAAGCCTTGACCACACCTATTGGGCCATTTCCAGAGCCAAAACCTGAAGAAAGGAGCGCCAAATGCAATCCCAATGCCCATTGCAAGTACCATCAAGGAAGGGGCCACACTACGGAGCAATGTTGGAATTTGAAGGACGTCATTCAAGACTTGATGGATGCAAATAAACTTCCTGTCCCTCCAGGCGGCAAGAAGTAATGAATACAAGGCACACAGATCCTTCGTGCAAGATTTCATGCTTTTTTTTATTCTTTTGTTTCAACCCTCTCCCCTAATAAGTCTAGCATAGGTTCCCGTTATCCATGTGTCTATGTGTCACATTTCTTACCTTCTTCATGAATGAGCATCTCTTTCTTACATTTGATCATGTGATTAGCAAAAAAAAAAAAAAAAAATCAATTACCGAACTAAACCCAAGGTACACCAATGACTTGAGGCACCTTTGCAACCATGTCATTCCCTGTTAACCGTTCAATCACATTCAATTTCTTCATCAATCATTTTGAGCCTCGTCTAACGTTTGGCCTTCATTTCTTCAACCCATATTCACTTAACCCTGGGATTGGAAGATGTGTAATTGTATAACATTCAAAAAGCAAGTTAAAAAAAAAAAGCAGCAAAGCAACAATAAAACAATGTCTAAAGGCAAGTTTTCCAATGTCTTTGATATGAACACGTCTCAAATTGCGTCTCTCATCGAGTGCTTGGTACCGTGCCTGAGAAACATGAATGCTAAGTGAGTGATGGACCGCATGATCTGAGATTGTCTACATTGATTAAAAAAAAAAGAGAAAAAAAGAAATTCAAATTAAAAAAAAAGGTTGAAAATAGACTTGCAAAATTCAAAATTTTCAAATTCAC